CTCTTTCCAAGAAATTTATTCATAATTGAGTTGTTTAAAAAAACAAACACATGAGTATTACAACGAGATAAAAAAAGATTTAATCATTTACAAAATGAAATATATTTTGCAAAAATGTTTAATATTACAATGATTGTTTAATACAAATAGTGTGAAATTTAAATTTCTCTACGAAAATATGGAGAACATTTTCGTAATCTCGATTCAAAATTATCGATTCTAAAAACGCGGGAGAAATCGATACTTGACTTGTTGAATGATTCGATCAGACCGCAAACATAATTTTTAGAGTAATCTACGCGCGAGGCTTTACTTGAAATTGTTTTTGTTGATCTATAGAAAAAAAGTCCACCATTCGCGATTAAATCTTTTTTTCGTTAAGATGTCTGTAAGTATATAAAACTATATATATACATTTTTCATTTTTCCATAATCTAGGTTAAGATTTACCCTCAAGTTAACCTCACCATTTTTCTTACAGGCACCAAAACAGGTAATGCATCATACGTATAATAACTGAACTGATTAAGAAACTGAACACATCATTTGCATTTTTATAGCAGCAGAATGTCGAGCACAAAGAGAAGAAGAGAAAAGAGAGTATTCTCGATCTATCTAAATATCTCGAGAAAAACATAAGGGTAAAGTTTGCTGGAGGTAGAGAAGCTGAAGGTATACTCAAGGGTTACGATCCTTTACTCAACTTAGTACTCGACAACACAAAGGAGTATCTTAGAGGTATATCACTGATAATACAACAAACTTATAAATGCGATTATAGATATAACACCGGTATATTCTCTAACTAATTTATATCTCAATATCTTGAATGTTATCTGAAACGTAAACAATTCTCTTAATTATACAGATCCAGATGATCCATACAAATTAAATCAGGACACACGCATGTTGGGATTGGTAGTATGTAGAGGAACATCTGTAGTGCTTATTTGTCCCGTAGATGGTATGGAGTCTATTCAGAATCCATTCATACAACAGGAAGGATAAACATGAGACATTTGTCTTTAAACAACCAATATATGACGTTATATCTTGGAGAGAAAGAGAGTTATCTTAGTATCTTAAACCATTTCCATTTTTCTAATGATGAAGGAAGTATAATTTATTTTGCATCATATTGAGAGTTGAAGAAGCTTATATATGTACCTAGGAAATAAATGCAATTTTCTTAAAAAAAGATACACTTTTATATCTATGTTTACAATAAATAATACAATTATATCTAAATAAGGTACTACGTGTGAACTCCTGATGATGTACAAGCAACATAGGAGAATAAGTCATACGTTGCTTCAACTGCATTTTCATTCGATTCCAAATTCATTTCTTAACCATGGATATTGCTGCGGACATTCGAAACATGTGTGTAAATACCTGTATGACTTAAGCACTGTACTGGGTAATTTACAACTGTTTGGCAAGTCACAGGCGACTTCAAATAATTCAAAATGCTGTTTTGCGCATTGCCACGGTGCGAACTTTCCGATTTCATCCACGGATGTTGGCTTGCGCATCCATTCCACAACCTGATGACTTGTGACAAAGAACACATCATCCAGCCGAAGTACATCATCGATGAATTTCTAATTATAAGAAAATATTATTGATTAATTAAATAGAAATAATAAAAACTTTGCCAAATTATACTGAAAGAGGAAAATTAGAAAAATTAGACAATTTTATACATAACAGTTATAAAAATCTTGAATATACCAAATTACTTTTTAGTCTATAATAAGAGAGATAGATACAATAAATATTTTTCTAAAATAAACAGATCAATTAAAAAGATAAACATGTTAGTAATCAACCTGAGATAAATGCATCATTGATTTTATTCGTACAAAAGTAATTTTTTTTTAAATTCTACTTACATTAAATGCGTAAAAATATGTTGGATTTTGGAACCACGATGCATGAAAATGTAAACCAAAAGGTGCTCGATTTGTAAGATAATGCCTTTTAAAGTTTAACATAAGCATCTTATAAACCTCTTCGCCAGATAAATTGGAAGGACAGGAATCCATAGTAGTACAAGTATATTCCTAAATAAAAACAGTACAATATTATTCCGTAATAAAAACAACAATATTGTTTTTCAATAAAGTGTATAAACAATTAAATATATCTGTTATTTTTATGATGGAATTATTTTGATCTTTTATCGTTAGGTCGTCCATAAAAAAAAAAAAAAAACAAAGATTAAAATTGATATATACTTGATAAGTATTAAAAGAAAATAAAAGATAATAAACTATAAAAAGTGTCAATTTTTAATCATCGAGTCTCTTCATATTTCAAAAGTCTTATCTGCATATTTATTTGATTTGAGTTTATACTTTTAACAATTCTATTCTAAATTCCTCCGTATTCCGATATTAAAAATACGGAACTTTTCGGAGCGCTTTTTCATTTGGTGAAAGTTGAAACGTTTGTTTTATTTTATTCATATATTCCGATAAATCGTCGATAAATCATGATTATGATATTAACGGAAAGATTTGTGCTTCTTATAAAAATACATAAATTTTGAAATTGCACAATTTATTTCGTGCGCGTAACAATCTTATATTAAGTTACACAATCTCGGCTTTTCATCTTTACTCGATATTTATACTACAACAATCGAGAAACGTTCCAATCTGTCACGTGTATGGCATTTACTTACATTTGCCAAAAGTTGATTTAGAGGCAGCTCCCAGATATTCGGATAGGAACGAGTTGGGCAAAGTTGTCCCGCGTGGATGCACGGATGTGGTGGTTTGTAATCGAGCGTGTACGGCCACAATGGTAAATCAGAGAACGGTGCGACGATTGAGGAATCGTAAGCGAAGCCAAATTCGGACATCATTAGAAACTGACGATTCCATCCGACCTGCAGAAAAGGGGCCCTTATCCCTACCGACATTATTGCCCCATAATGAACATTCGTCATCTCATTTCAAGAAGGAATTGTAATTTAAGTTTATATCTAAATATGCAATAAATATAAATGCAATATTTATTTGTGAGACTCCTTTTAATAATTATCGTTGAATGAGTCATTTTTAAATTTAATCGTAAAATTACAATTCTTACCTTTGATATCGCCGATACGAACCGCTGCATATTTCTTGATAATATTCGCTACTCCGACCATCTCATCGAACCAGTCTTCGATCGTCGCGTTCTTCGACCACCACTCCTCTGGTCCGCGATGCCTAAGTAATGATCCTCGATTTGTTTTGCATATCGAATCAAACGGTTCTCTATGAGAGAGACTCATCTCTCAATTCCTTTTCTTTCTCAATATCTCGTTCAAAAATACTCACGTAACGGAATGTGCGGCTATTTCGTGGCCGGTGTTCCACAAATACTGCACATCTCTGTAATTCGTGTATTGATGACTGATGTAGAAAGTACCTCTTATGGGACAGCTGTTGGGATTTTTCCTGTCATTCGTAAATATTTCTGCAAATAATTATTTTCTGTTATTATTCTATATTCTTATTTTTTTCTTCAAACAAATCTCTATATTATTACAAGAATAAAAAATTATTAACATTAATGATATATATATATATATATAAACAGTCTCTCAGAAATCTAATTAATGAGCTTTAAGAAATTTACAAAAAATGAAATTGATCAATTTGGTTTTTAAAAGGCTCAAATATGCTTATATTTACTTAAGGTCACAATATACTTATTAAATTTTTTTTTTAAAGAAAAAAGGAAGAAGAAACAATCAAGATAATAAAATTGATTTTGTCGATAAATACTGGCTTCTTACTTGAATAGAGTTCAAAGTTTTCAGCATTCACAGCGTCATTGAAAGTGATTGTTATCATTTGTGGAACAGCGAGTACGGTGAGATTTCCTGGAATTCGAGTCCCATCCTTGGAACACCAACAATTTGGTAGTCGACATTTCTGCGTGTCACACGCCGGTGCGGCATTTGTATCATGTTGCATATCTATAACAGACCAATGACACTTACATTAATAATTGAATTGTGCGTTATAAATATTATTATTTTATATATTTTCGTACCGTGAAATAGAAATAACCGCAATTTGTTTTACTTTCAAATATACGAGCGTGAGAGCATCCTATAGAGAGCGTTTCACAAAATAATATAAAACCATTTTAAATTTTCTTTCAATTATTTTTCATATATCAATACGCGAACATTAAGTTTTATATATTTCGATATTCATATATTGCATATATTTATCGCGATAAAACTATGTACAATTTAAAAGACGAAGAATACTTTTCGCAGATCTATATGTACGATTGCGAAAATTTTGCTGCGAAATATATTTGCGTATCATTTACATCTCTTACCGCACCATCCTTCGTCCGAACCGTCAGGACAATCGACGCTTCCATCGCAGAAATACAGAGCCGGAAGGCACGTGCCATCTCCGCAAGCCAGACTTTTCTCGTCGCACTCGCCATTCTTCAGCAACGGCTTCGCTGGTTGGACATCTACGAGAAGCTTTTAAAATTTCACATCACCATTCGTTATAATAATACTTCTTTAAGCCACATATATATCTACGAGAAGCTTTATGGATCTTTGTTCCCGAAAAAATCTAGTTATACTAAATTAAATAGATCAAGACAACAATTACATGTTTTGTTTAAAATCAAAAATTAAAGTTAAAGCGTTTTGACACTAATGATAATTGGAATCACTAATGACAAATTGGAACCAATAAGGGATTTCACGGTTAAATAAAGAAACGAGATTAATTCATCGCCGCACTGTACGATTTTTCGAGTGAAAGTAATAGTTACGTGTATAATATTCGATCGTTTTCTTACGCGAGTAGAAATCGACATAAGGTTCGCCGGTGCCTCTATTCTGTTTATAGTATGTATAAGTATATATATAAGTTATACCTGAAGTTATATCGCAATTCTCAACATTTGTCTTAAAATCGCAAATTTGCCTGGAGACGTCAAAAAGGAGTCCTTGCGAGCACTTGAATTCGAATACTTCATTATCTGAAATATGATGATTAAACGCATATAATTTTCGATTAATACGTATTAATACGTGTATCATAATCTTCAGATTTTACATCAAAACAAATAATATGATTATTTATATATTCTCATATAAATTAAAATTAAAATGAAACAATAAAGCTCTTACGAATGTATATCATACAAAGGCGAGGGAAGGCAATTAAGAGCCAGCGCGATAATTTGTGCGCAAATATTATAATCTAATTATATTAATTATGTCAGAAATGAGTCGCAAACATAAGATTACAAATAATTACAACGAACAAGAGTGATATGTAAATAAAAACAAGATAAAATAAAATTTTTAATTAAATGAAAAAAATAAAACTTCTAATTAAAATATTTATTTTTAATAATTAATATTCTTTGTAAGATATAATTAATCGCATAATATTGTAAACAATTTATTATTGTTTGACACAAGCATATATACTATTATTTATATTAATGTTATGTGTATATTTATATTATGTTTTTACTGACAGGAAAGAGCGATTAAGTTCATATATGGTCAACCTTTAAATAAATTTCAATTTTATTCCTTTTTGTATAATTTATAATTACCTAAACAGAGAAAATATTTGGCACATTCTGTAGGCGACCAGACGTTATGCGACAGTATTTTAGGATTTCGATAGAACTTGTTGTCGTCTATGCAAGGGACTTCTCCGGATTTTCCTTTCTCCGCCGCAGTATTCGCTGAAAAAGACATCACGATGCGGAGATATCAGTTGCCCGACCCACATCTTCCACGCTTCTAAATTTAAATATCAATAACAATTTCTTTTTACAAATTAATAATAATAAAACATTACAAAGTATGCGTTAAAACTTCCATCCGTGATATTTTCGTATATTGTGTGATGAATTTTTTATAATTTTTCTTGTGCGTATCGTCTCTCTCTCTCTCTCTCTCTCTGTACGCACAGGATGTTTGGTAACTGATGGTGCAATCAAGGAAGCTTTGATCATTTATTGCAAAATTAATACGTGCAACAACAACTCTTTGATATGAGAATAGCTTAATCTTTTATTTATTTGTGATCAGTGGCTTTTTCGTACATCCGTATAATTTTTTTAATGATTTCCTCAGGCAAAATTTTAAGACGCGCAATCATTTCTTTTATATTATTCACACTTAATTCGGAATATTGTTTTATATTAATATATTTTTTTCAAATAAAACAAAAAATATTAATTCTTCGTTATTTTTAGAAGAAAAACCAAATATCAAATTTTTTAATTTGAAATAAAAAATGTATAATTAAAAATTTATAATTAAGAAAGATGTGATATATAAAAAAAAGAGAGAGAAAAAGACATTTTATAAGATTTATAATAAAAAAAAAATTGTCTTAAAATGAATATAAGGGAAAACGATTTTCACATAAAATAAATATTATTGATTGAAACGATTTCGATATCTCAAAGCTATAAGATTATCTTTAAGTGCGCGATACTTTCACGTTCCGGTTCGGAAACGGATATCTGTAGCGTGCGACGTATACTCATTCGAAGAGAAATCTCGGTGCGATTAGCGCCATCGTTTTCACCCGAATGCAAAAACGGAAGTGAAACCTCCGGCGCGCATCATGTCTCATTCACACACAAAACGAACCTTTCAGAGTCCATTTTTATTTATTTTTTCGCTATGTATATTTTATTTTATAAAATTAATAAAGACGAAAACCGATATAATTTTGTAAAAAAAAAACCACAGTTTTTGATGCTAAAAATAGAGAACAGGGGGATATAGCTTTTTTTAAACATAAGGTAGATATTTGAGTAAATGAATTTTTTACTTATTGTTAGCTTTAAATTTAATATCTTTATTCTTTGTTTCATTGATTATATTGAAATTTTATTAATTATATCCATATTTTTCCGTCACGACAAGTTTGTATGATATATAAATATAATAATTTTCCACCATACAAAAATTTATTTTATGTCATTTATCCTGCTTGTCTTAAAACGAAATGGAAAAAGGGGATTTAATTTATTTATGTTGTAAACTATATTTATTTTACAATTTTATTTATTTAAAGACATACTTTGAATAAAAACATCTCTCTTGATTTAATTTCTTTTTTATTAGACTCAAAATTGACTAATGCTGCAAAAATGCAATAATTATGTATTAAATTTATAATATATTTTCTAATTATGTATTTTCGAACTATTGATTTATCATAAGAAATAAAAATAATGGAGAAGATCCATTTCGTCAATTATTAAATGATATAAGATGATGTATATATGGAAAATTAATGAGGGAAGGAAAATATGTTTTTTTATACTGCTTATTTCTTATATAATTAAATAAATATATTTATATTATTTCCTGTATTCAGTTAATCGTTTTTTAAAATATATACATAAATATGAAAAAATATTTAAAAAATTGTTTTAACTTTGGTCGCAAAAGATTCTTCTGGTATACATTTTTCTTTGTTTAAAAGGAATTTATTTTCAAAATTTAATCTAAATCGAAATATGATGTTTTCGGAAATTTCGTCAAAATTTATCCGAGCAGCACAAATATGTTTATATAAAAATGCATATATAGTATCCATAATTATTAAAGTTATATTTTTAATTCAATCTAACATGTGATTATAAATATGGTCTATAGGGATAAAATATATAATTACTTTTTATATAAATTTTCATATTTAATATTATTTATTTATAAACAGAATCGTAAAAAACGCGCTAGAAAAGGGGGGAAAGGGAATAACCGGATCTTAAGTTCAACGCCTTCTGAAATTTAATTCGCCCTTGAAAAACGAAGATTCGCGTGACTTAGAATAAGGGAAGACACGCACTCGCGAATACTTTGCTAATTGCGAACTCACCGGAAACGGCAAGCAATGCGATCAGCACAAAACGGATTCTCGATCTCATGTCGATCCTTCGCGCGCGCGGATCTTTTACGCGGGTTCCACGCGCGACAGCTCGCACTTTCAAACTGACGGCCCCTTACGAAAGCACGCCTTATATGACGAGTATACTGCGTTTAATCGCACGGATCTCTACCAAGCCGTCTATTTCACTCGTCTCCGGTGATTGCAATATCGGTACTTCGAATACCGCTTCATGGCATACTCTTTGCCCATTTTGGGTTCGATTTTTCCTTTTGACAAGAAAGTCATCGTGCCAGTCATCGTTTCTCGCGATTTGCCATTCTTCGATATATCTTTATAATTAAGCTTCAAAATTGAAATTCTGTAGAAGTAAAGCTTATTTGAAATTAGTTGGAAATTTGTCTGCGATTACTATTTAAATATGGTATTGTTACATTTATTTGCACCGTCAAAATTTTTTTTTAATAAGGAAATGTTTTAATTTTAATCGCTAATTATACTCAAAAATTATATCGATGCCTGGATATTTTGTCCTTGATCAAAGAAACATTTATGCATTCGTTGAATGATGTATCTATAAAGTATCGATCAATTAGCTTCTTTTTCGTTTGAAATTATGATGATATTAGTATAACAATTATGTATCGATACAAATACAAATAGTTATTTGATAATCAGTGAGAAAATTGTAAAAACACGTATTGTTTGTTAAACGCAGACTGAATTTTTGCTTGGCTATAGCTTTTATATTAGGTCTAACTTAATTCTTTTCTAATTGAGAATTAATAAATTATTAAAAAGATATTCCTCTCACATACAAAGATAAACAAATAAAGTCTATTGTCTTATTAATTAATCATATGAAGGAAATAAAATTTTGTCTATCACAATCAAAATATTAATGTGATTTGATTGTGATAAAACATATGCGCACAAATTACCGCGCTGGCTCTTGATTGGCTTTTATTTCTTTCGTATGATATATTCATATAAGAGCCTTTATTAGTTAATTTCTTATTCATTAATTTAGAGATGACAAATCCTTCACTAAAGACGTACTTCCTTTGAATTCTTTAGACGAATTTCTTAGTCAATTTTAAGAAATTTTCTTTTTTTACAAAATTGTCGAAATTTTGCAAAGACTCTTGTAAATTTAAAATTATAAACGAGAAATACAAAATCTTTTTGTTGACTGAGGTTTTAGAGGGCCAAATATATAACAAAAATTTTTAATAAATTGTAGACTGATAGCAATTTTTATAATTTCAGACACAATTAGTTCTAAAGATAAATAATGTTGAAAACTAACATATATAATATATCTATCCCAGCAAAACGGGCTAAACATTATTTTTGGACGATTGTTAGCTCCTAGACTCGTAAAAGTGTCAGGCAAAGACGTGCAAACAACAATAGTTCTGATTTAAATGATGGATAGTGACCAAGATTGTAGTCAGTCGACTCTGTCCGACACTCTCTTACAAAGAGGAATTTTGTATAATTTTTCTTCGAATTTCGAATGCAAAGAGTTTAAATCATATCGAATCGCGCGACGTTTTCGCGAAAGGCGACGATTTACTCGCGCTAATTAATTATCTCTTTGTGAGATGAATCGCGCATCCATCATTCCCGCCGTTTACACAGTTGGAGACGAATCCGTACGATCTCGCAGCGATTATTACCGGCTGGGACATTCGCCAAATAACTGTAAGCTTGTGTGTAATCGCAGAGAATCTATCACGGTGACGTTCGATTTGGTAGCTAGCCCTAATTTGCCGCGCGAGATAATCCCGATGTACCGTTATTTTTCGGAGACAGCACACCTTTCTAATGAATTATCTCGATGTTCATCACGGCTACGAAAGTATGAATCTTTCTCTCATCAAAGAATAATATAATAATTGTGACAAAATTGTAAAAATGTTTTCTTGAATAAAAAAAGTCAATTTTTGCTTGGCAAAAGTTTTATATTAGGCTAAATTCCATAATTAATTATTGACCATTAAGAGGTTTTGTAAAATTAAATTTTAGGTAAAATAACAGTTTTTATTCATTAATTTACAGGAGACATATTTAGAGATAAAAATTTGATGATAACAATATCTTTTGAATTTTATACATGATCCGCGAAAATCGAACTTTTCATAGATAATAATTTAAGATATTATATTTTTGTCAAATATACTTCACACTAAAATATAAAGCTACACGAATAAAATTTTAATTCGAGTTTAGCTGCTTATGTGAATATTTAATGTTGAGTAATAAAATATTATAGAGTTAACATTAAATTAAATATTTTCACGAAAATCTAATTAAATTTCAGTAAGGAGAAAAAAAATGACAAAATTATTACATAATTTGCAATTGTCCTTTTTAACACATAAATTCAAAACTATAAAATTTCTATTTTTCCTTCTCTTTTCCCATGTGTGTGCCGTATAATATAATCAAGTGTCATAGAATAAAGAATGAGACAACACATTTTCATTGTAGATATTTGTTTCCTTGCCAAAAATTACTTTGCTTTTCTAGCTATTACGCGATCATGCCATCAATCATTCTTGAATGTTTCAGGAAACTAAAACACGATCAGAATGTACACAGGTGTATAATATAAAATCCAAACAACAATAAAATTTGAAAGGCATCCGAGAAGACATTCGAAAAGAACGATTGTGGAATCTTCTTTGTAAATTTACATGTATGTTACGTTAAAAAAAAAAAAAGAATATGAATGTTAAATTGAATACCGTCATTACCTGAATTTTCGTAATTTAAAATCCGATTCACGCAATTTTCATCTGTCCGTCCACATCTGTTTCGGTTTCGGTAACAAATATAGAGTTTACGATCTACGTGATGTGTTTCCTGTTGCGGATTGAAGATGCTTTTGAAAATGTCATCGAGGTAGATAAATACTTATAATTTATTAACGCACGAGCTCATTTCCGCATCATCGGCAACAAAGAGCGTGATCACGCGTATCCCGTGACGGTCCATCGAGGACAGAGACCATGTACGAAAATACATTTACGCGGAGCAAGAAGATAAATCGAGGTAGCCGCGGGAGGCACAGTCGTTGCTTCAAACGTGACCTCCGTTCAAATTAGATAATGCTGTAAAGAGAAGAACGGCTGGCACGTATGATGGGACATTCTCGCAAAAAATTTATGAATTTGAATAAGGAAATTATATTTTCGGGTGAAAAAAATGTGCTTCTAAATAAAAAAAAATTTGTGTAAAGTTGTAATATAGATGTTCGATTACGCAAAGACTTTATCTTATACGTATATTCACGCTTCATTTATAAAAGATTATAATAATATTAAATTCAATGCAATATACATATCATAAATATATTAGCTTTTTGATATGATCTCTTTTCGAAGTCTTATATATTCGTATGATGATCATAGAGTTAAAAAATATAACGCGACATAATGCTCGCGACGTTCACCCTTCTTATCATTTCGATTTAGATTCAAATTATAAAAATTTCACTATTGATGAACTATTAATGTGCTCGTCTCTTAAAATATTTTACCGTGTCTTGCCCGAGGCTGTCTCACGGAAATAATTTCCAAGCAACGAGAGAACGTACGCTCGACCTCCCCGAGTACGTCACGCGTCGCGCGGGGACACAACATAAGGAAAGTTCTCGGTCGAGAGTCTGATTTCAGCGGGACCTCTCAGTTAAATTCGGACTGCTCCGATCCGCTTCAACGTAAGCTGGCTCAATTAAAATTTAGATCCGTTCCCGTCAACGGGAATTAGAAAGGCGGAAATGGTGATACCTCTAAATCCCGTGTTCCAGCGATTCCGTACGAATGCGAGTAGATAATTGATAACTTCCTGTTTACTATGCGACTGGGACTTATTTCCCGAAGTCACCCCATTAATGTATAAAATGCTCTCGATTCTTTTCAAATTTAGTAATAATCGTATTTTACCGCGCGTTGGGAAAAATAAAATTAATAATAGTTAATTAATAATAATTAAATGAATAATAGTAATAGCAGTGTAGTAATCAAATTTTTTTGTTGATAGCCTTTAGAAAATCTCCGAGACCATTTAAACTTCAAGATAAAGATATAAACGATACATGATATACAGACAGAAAAAAATAAGCACTAAATTTTTTATGAATGTATAATATATGAAATGTCAGATATTAAAAATATATTAGAAGATTAATAGTATAAATTATTGAAGTTTTTTTTTTTTTAGTAATCATACCGTTTTTGATTTTCAATCTCTAGAAAAGAGTTTCATAGAAAGATTACGCTGTAAATGAAAGAATTATTGAAAAGTGCTATAAATTAATAGTACCAAGTCGTGCTTGGATAAAGAGAGCTTTCGTAAGGAAGAGACGAGATTGTGTAAACAGATCTAAAAGTTTCACGGATGCAAGATGGATAAGTTCGATGCAAATGCGGACGCGCGCGATGACATTTCCACCGCTGTGTTTGTCGCCACCTCCACTATATGAGTTTCTTCCCCGGTACCACACAGTCTTTGTATCCCTCGCTCAGAGGGAATAGCCTAAGTTTAGACCCAGCGACAATCCGGTCGAGTTCAGTGTAAAACCACCATCCTCTCGAATCACTTTCTTCACGCCGGACGTGCTTTTCCGCGTGGACGTCGCGTTTCGATCTGAGCAGAAGAGCTCGTCGCGATCCGGAAAACATTTTCGTCTTTTCGATATTCCGTGTCTACGAATTATTCAAGAGAAAAAAGAACAGGGGGAAATAATAAATCACGATGGCATATAGCTGGGATAACCGCGTTAATTTCATAGTGAAGTTTTTATATGGTTAGTAGATGAAAAGATATTGCAAGAGTCGATATAGATTTACGGCAGAGGAAGATAATTAGAAAGACGGTGGTTGAAAGATAATATATTTACAAGCTGCGTTTACCGGAATCGCGATATTAATGAGCAAAATGGATGATTTTTTTATGTAAATATAAATCAAAAGAGTGTAAAATAAATTGACTTTTGTTTTGTGACACAAAAGCAGATTGTAAAATTTATATTTACAACATTCACAATAAGTATATTGTTTCGTACAATTTTAATTTATGAAATAGGTACACATAATATTTTTTTTTTTAATTTATTACTTAAAACAATATTTCTCGCCTCTGTCGAATATGCATTCGTGCAATTACATCCCCTTGCATTATCTTGCATTTCTCATGTGCTTTTCATGTGTGTATATGTGGACCACGTGGTATGACAATATCGTGGCGATTTGATAATACATAGATTATTTCACACACACATAAACGATAAGTTGCCATCCAAAATAAGTGCTAAAGAACATATATAACATCTTCCGATGATATATCTTTGTAATTAATTAAAAACTCAAATTAAAATATTCTATTATAGTAAAATCTACCTGAGATCAATTGAAGAATACGATTATCTATACATATATATATTCAGGGTTGGGTAAGTTATTTTTTTTTTTTTAACTAAGTTAAGTTTAAAGTTAATGGCCCAAAAATTAACTAAGTTTACGTTAAAAGTTACTTAAACAAGAATTAATTGATAGAGATATTATAGTGTTTAAAAACAAAACGGTTAATAAATATCTCAGTTAAAAAACTTTCTCCTGTTTAATTTGAACCACTCTACCTGCACACTTGCGTTTTATCTTCATCTTTAATCGTTAGGTATTCTAACAATAAATTAAACCAATTTAAAAATATTTATTGAATTGTGTTAATGCATTTAAAAGTAACTAGTTTAAGTTAAAAGTTAACACATTAAAAATTAACTAAGTTAAGTTAAAAGTTATTAACTTTTTCAACTTAACTTTTAACTTTTTAACTAGTTACTACTCAACCCTGTATATATTTCTCTTATCTTCTATTTATTTATTATCTATTTTTTCCTTTAAAAAATCAGTTTCCAAAAAAAATTCTTTTTTAAAATATATATTTTTTTTTTTTTATGAAAACTACTCAAAATTAAAAAGATCAAAGAATCCACAATTCAAAAGAAGTGCACTTAAATGAAGAACATCCTGTATAACTGCAGATATAGATAACAATGGATTTTTGGACAAGCACGATTTCGAATGCATGGCATTGAGAATGACGTTGATCGAAGGCAAAGGAGAATTTAATTATAATCGATACCAAGAAAATCTCCACATCATGCTCTCCTTGTGGGAGGAGATAGCTAACCTGGCGGATTTTGACAAGGTACGCTCACAAGACATTGTTTCTACGACAGATGACCATTTCTTCTGGCACGATTTAAATCTCTCTCTTACACCAGCTTGAAATTCTTCAAATAATTTAGTTCTCGAGATTGTAACTCAAGATCATTATATATGTATGTATATCTGTTGCAATCTTTCTCACGTGTTTTAAAACAATTATCTATAGCGATTTGTTATATCTTTCTTCGACAATACGGAATATTGTTCCCGATTTTTTTACGAGCATTTTACAAATATGTTTATTATTTTATATTAACTAGATAATTAAATTCAATTTTTGTTAAAAATTAACGCACAAAGAAGTTTAATATCTTGTTAAAATCTAAATGTATAAATAAATAATGAATTTGATTTAATTCTACATATTGATTTCCTATCCTATTACTGATTTAATAATTTTACTTTAATATGAAAATTCTTAAGAGAAAAAGTATCTAAGAAAATCTTGTAATTAATTATTCTACATTAATGAAACAATTTTCTTAATACGAGTTTAAATAAAAAATTAACGCTTTCAATAATAAAATTATTGTATGCGTAATCACAGGCCAACAATTTCAAAAATTTTATTAATGTTATTTTACATACACATACAACAATAAAACATTAATCAGAATTTTTGAAAGATATATTCTGTACCGATTAAACGAATATATCATTAAAAATCTGAAAGCTAAAATTAAAAATAATTTTTTTATGTTATTGAACCAAGAAATAGATCTGCATTCTTAAAATGTAAGAAGGTTATTAAAAACTTATAACGAGAAAATTGATGGCCTAATTATGCGTACAAATTTTATTATTAAAAATGATAATTTCGATTTCAAAATCGTATCAAAAAGATTGTTTTATCAATTTAAAATAATAATTTATTATTTACAAATTTTTCTCAGATTTTTTCAGATATTTTAGCTTCTATATTAAATTAAATTACTAAAAAATATACATATATAAATGCCAATATAAAATGCTAATAATAAGTGTTTGTGTGTAATTTTTCTATTTTTTTCTAGGATGGCGTTGTAACGACAGAAGAATTTAAAAAAGCCGTGCAAAGTAGCTGTGTTGGTCGTTCTTATAATGATTTCCCGCAAGCCATGAAGATGTTCATCGATAGCCATTTCAAGATACTTGACATGAATGGTATCGTATAACATTCATAAACATACGAAACAACAAACATATTGCGGAGAATGACAAATAAATTATAATTTATTCTCGTAAAGATAAAATCGATTTAAAAAAATTGCAAAATTGGACATTATATTTTTTATATTTTCTGAAATAAGGTTTCTGTAATATATGGTCATCTTAAAAATAAGTAATTCATTTTACAGTTATTGAATTCTTTTCACTAGGTATACATATTTACAATTTATCTATTAATTAAATATTAAATTATTTTTTTATATAATTATTTTAAATGTATTAAATAATTGTAGCTTTTTTTAGAAATAGCTTCAAAAAGGAATCGTAATTTGTTGAATCTCAAAACACATGTCTTTTATTTTCAATTTTAATTTTGGCGATAAGAAATAACTACAAAATATATTAAATGCATAAAACGGCTTATCTCCAAATTTACTATTGACGTTTTGATAAAAACGTTTAGCAGATTGTTTTTTTTAAAGACTATTCTTAAGAAAAATTTTAAACAATGTCTCAGAAAATTTTCATGTAACAAATCTATTTGCGCGCAAATAAAATATATTTTGAATAGTAAATAATTTCTAATTATTAAAAGAATATAAAAGCGTTATTTTATTCAGTCAATATATATATATAATTTTGAAAAAAATCATATATTTATATTATGTTCTCTAGAAGAGATACTCATGCACTCTAATTATGATTTCGAATAAGACATTTATTGAATTCTGTGATGCCTGTTTCAGAGGATGGCGTAATCGGTGCCGAAGAATTTCGATATGACTGCGTGTCAAGGATTGCAGTGGATAACATAGATGTTCTCGATAAAGCTTATCAGAGTCTTCTGAACGTAAGTTAAGCAATTTAATTTTATGATTTACAAAGTTAATCAAATCAATTGTTATTTTGCCTAATGTAACTTTATTGTATTTCATTGCAACTGTTCAAAAAATTTAGCGAAATATTTCAAGTTTATTCGAAAGAGATCTGAATGTATACATCTTTTATCGAAAATAATTACGTTAAATATCACACGCCAAAAATAATTACTTTAATTATCACGTTGACAGGATGATGACAGAAAACGCGGCGGATTGACTTTATCACGTTATCAGGAATTATATGCTCAATTTCTCGGTAATCCCGACGAGAATTGCCCGGCGATCTACCTCTTTGGGCCGATAGAGCAAAAATCGTAACCTAACGCGCCATTTTTTGGAAAGATATATAAATCCTTACATAATTGTATGTACAAAAAGACACTTGCACAAAATATATTTAAGGCCTATGTTAATTCTAGAAACTCTGTGAAAAATTATTATAATAAATCAGATATTTTATCATAAGCAACAGAAATTTTTTATAAATTTTGATATTCCAATATGATATAAAGCTCCACACAATCAACGCGAAATAATTAAAAATTATTATGACATTTCTACCTTGAACTTTAATCATTATTCGATATTTGTATCAACCGTATTTGGAACATACTATTATGAAAATCTCTAATAATTCATTAATAATTCCTTCATATATATATTCCAAATTAAGGTATATAGTGTAAAGATTGCCAGATTTTTGAGCCACTTCCAATAATTTAACCAAAAAAAAATTATAAATATAAAAATTTGTAACTTTTAATGATGAGCAATAGTGGTAAAAAAAATAGTCGGCGAATTTTTTGGTTTAATTGAAAAACAAAAATAAATAGAAAAATAAATTAATAAATTAGAATAAATCAGAATAATTATATTGTATATTATTATATACATATTATTTTGAACGATCGCATGTGATTAGATCTAATGAAATTTAATGTATGTGTGATTAAATTATAACTATTTTAATTATAATAAATAGTATTATTATTATATCCACTAGCACATAAATTATAATTTGAATATTTCTCTGCAATCTTCTAAAAATGATTTTAATGACTTACATTTATTTTGTTTGTTATGTTACTTATTGATAGTATTAATTTGTGATCGATATTTGTCAAGCGAAAAATACAATTCTTTATTTAACAACATTTAACGTTTAAAGTGCGCAATCACTATAGTATCGCATATACTGCTACGTATCATTGCAAATTTGAATTTATAGGCACATACTAAATATCTGATATATTTGCAAGTTCATTATCGCAAAAGAGAGAGATTAAAATATAAAATAATTTAAAACTCACCTGTATATTACGATGCTCCTCCTCTTCTGCTTATTTTATGTCGCTCCTTTGTGGAACTCACTCGCGAAAATACGACGTTTACGCGAAAAAACATAATTAATCACGATAACACGCATATTAATCGACGCGATTAATCGCATACAACGTGCATTTTATTTTATATTATGACTGAAAAACGCGAATATCACGATTACACGAAAGTAAATACGAATCGCTGAAAAGTCGCGCGATCGAATTCATACGATGCTGTCTTTTTATGAGAATGTAAAATTTAAATAGTCACTCAAGTTGATATTCACTAATCGTAATAATTTTACGAAATAATCGCGTTTTGAGAGATAATACGACGGAGCATCTCGCGCTACAACTTTCTCACTCGAATATCGCGGTATCAATGAATGAACAAAGCCACGGCACGTAAACATAACGCGCTATTGTTCGCCGCGAAAAACCAAGGTCTTGTGACTATATTGATATTTTGACATCACGAAATATTTAATGTTATAAAACAACGTAGCATTATAAAACAAATTTTTATACGGAATATTCTAAATATTTAAATTTCGAGAGAATTGATTTTTAATAAAAGATTTTTAAATGAGTCATGATTTTTCTCACATTAAATTTTAATCACACGATCCTGCGATTTGTGTATATATTATTATATTAAATCTAAATCTATTAGTTAAAATAAATATTTTTTTAATCTTTCTGAAAAATAATTGCGAAATTATATTTAAATCGGCAAAGCACGTGCCGTATAATATTTAATATACAAGCTTATTTAAGGAAATAATCACCCGTAGAAATCACAATGAAACGATAATTTGTAAGTTTAATTGACGCAATTAATCACATACAACGCGCATTTTATTTTATATTACGACCAAAGGATGCAAAAATCACGATTACATGAAAGTAAATACGAATCGTACTGAAAAATCGCGCGATCGATTTCATACGATGCTGTTTTTCTACGAGAATGTAAAATTTAAATAGTCATTCAAGTTGATATTCACTAATCATAATAATTTTACGAAATAATCGCGTTTTGAAAGATAATACAACGAAGCGCTCGAGCTATAACTTTCTCACTCGAGTGTCGCGGCGTCAATGAATTGACAAGGCTACGGCACGTAAACATAACGTGCTATTGTTCGCCGCGAAAAACCAAGGTCTTGTAACTATATTGATATTTTGACATCACGAAATATTTAACGTTATAAATAACGTAGCGTTATAAAACAAATTTTTATACGAACTATCCCATATATTTAAATTTCGAGAGAATTGATTTCTAATAAAAGATTTTTAGATGCATCATGGCTTTTTTTACATTAAATTTTATTCACACGATCCTGCGATTTGTGTATATATTATTATATATTAAATTTAAATCCCTTAGTTAAAATAAATGTTTTCTTAATCTTTCTGAAAAATAATTGCGAAATTATATTTAAATCGGCGAAGCACGTGCCGAAAAATATTTAACATACAAACTTATTTAACAAAATAACTGCTCATAGAGATCACAATGAAACAATAATTTGTAGGATTAATCGACGCAATTAATCACATACAACGCGCATTTCATTTTATATTACGACCAAAGGACGCGAAAATATCGATACGATCATCCATATATTTAAATTTCGAGAGAACTGATTTCTAATAAAAGATTTTTAGATGCATCATGGCTTTTTCCATATTAAATTTTAATCACACGATCTTGCGATTTGTGCATATATTATATTAAATTTAAATCTATTAGTTCAAATACACTTTTTTTTAATCTCTCTGAAACATAATTGCAGAATTACATTTAAATCGGCGAAGCACGTGCTGAAAAATATTTAATATATAAGCTTATTTAAGGAAATAATCGTCCGTAGAGATCACAATGAAACAATAATTTGTAAGTTTAATCAATGCAATTAATCGCATACAACGTGCATTTTATTTTATATTACGACCTGAAAACGCGAATATCACAATTACATGAAAATAAATACGAATCGCTGAAAAATCGCATGATCGAATTCATACGATGCTGTCTTTCTACGAGAATGTAAAATTTAAATAGTCACTTAAATTGATATTCATTAATCGTAATAATTTTACGAAATAATCGCGTTTCGAGAGATAATACGATGGAACGTCTCGCGCTACAACTTTCTCACTCGAGTGTCGCAACATTAATAAGTTGACAAGACCACGGCATGTAAACATAACGCGCTATTGTTCGCCGCGAAAAACCAAGGTCTTATGGCTATATTGAAATTTTGACGTCACGAAATATTTGACGTTATAAAACAACATAGCGTTATAAAACAAATTTTTATACGGAATATTCTATATATTTAACTTTCGAGAGAATTGATTTCTAATAAAAGATTTTTAAATGTATCATGGCTTTTTCACATTAAATTTTATTCACACGATCCTGCGATTTGTGTATATATTATTATATTAAATTTAAATCTATTAGTTAAAATAAATGTTTTCTTAATCTTTCTGAAAAATAATTGCGAAATTATATTTAAATCGCCGATGCACGTGCCGAAAAATATTTAACATACAAGCTTATTTAACAAAATAATTGCTCATAGAGATCACAATGAAACAATAATTTGTAGGATTAATCGACGCAATTAATCGCATACAACGTGCATTTTATTTTATATTACGACCGAAGAACGCGAATATCACAATTACATGAAAATAAATACGAATCGCTGAAAAATCGCATGATCGAATTCATACGATGCTGTTATTCTACGAGAATGTAAAATTTAAATAGTCACTCAAGTTGATATTCACTAATCGTAATAATTTTACGAAATAATCGCGCTTTGGGAAATAATACGACGGAGCTTCTCAGGCTACAACTTTCTCCCTCGAGTGTCGCGGTGTCAATGAGTTGACAAACCACAGCATGTAAACATAACGCGCTATTGTTCGCCGCGAAAAACTAAGGTCTTGTGGCTATATTGAAATTTTGACGTCACGAAATATTTAACGTTATAAAACAACATAGCGTTATAAAACAAATTTTTATACGAAATATTCTATATATTTAACTTTCGAGAGAATTGATTTCTAATAAAAGATTTTTAAATGTATCATGGCTTTTTCACATTAAATTTTATTCACACGATCCTGCGATTTGTGTATATATAATTATATTAAATTTAAATCTATTAGTTAAAATAAATGTTTTCTTAATCTTTCTGAAAAATAATTGCGAAATTATATTTAAATCGCCGAAGCACGTGCCGAAAAATATTTAACATACAAGCTTATTTAACAAAATAATTGCTCATAGAGATCACAATGAAACAATAATTTGTAGGATTAATCGACGCAATTAATCGCATACAACGTGCATTTTATTTTATATTACGACCGAAGAACGCGAATATCACAATTACATGAAAATAAATACGAATCGCTGAAAAATCGCATGATCGAATTCATACGATGCTGTCTTTCTACGAGAATGTAAAATTTAAATAGTCACTCAAGTTGATATTCACTAATCGTAATAATTTTACGAAATAATCGCGCTTTGGGAAATAATACGACGGAGCTTCTCAGGCTACAACTTTCTCCCTCGAGTGTCGCGGTGTCAATGAGTTGACAAAGCCACGGCATGTAAACATAACGCGCTATTGTTTGCCGCGAAAAACCAAAATCTTGTAGCTATATTGATATGTTGATATTACAAAATATTTAACGTTATAAAACAACGTAGCGTTATAAAACTAATTTTTATACGGAATATTCTATATATTTAAATTTCGAGAGAATTGATTTCTAATAAAAGATTTTTAGATGCGCCATGGCTTTTTTCACATTAAATTTTAATCACACGATCCTGCGATTTGTATATATATTATTATATTAAATTTGAATCTATTAATTAAAGTAAACGTTTTTTTAATCTCTCTAAAAAATGATTGAGAAATTACATTTAAATCATGCCGACATCACAAAATATTTAACGTTATAAAATAACGTACAAAATAAAGGTTAATCGGAAAAATTCGTCGGTACATACCTGAGGCAACAGAAGAAAAAATAGTTTCAGAAACACGTAAATTATTTCCTCGTTTCGTGCGACGTATCCCGGGCGATGTAAGATTTCAACATTTGTTTATCTTGCAAAAACTGTAATCTTCCAGATGATTATATCAAATGACGAGACGACCGATCAAATTTTAAACTTTATATGCATAATTTGAAACTAGCACCGGCGAGCCGAGAGATGTGGCTCATGCGCAGACAGGATGCGCACTGGAAAACGCGCGGGAAAAAGCGACGTAATAGTTGATCGATCTTTTGCGATTGCGGGAAAATGACAAGGTGATTAATTATCACGTCACGATCTTAGAAAAGGATAATGGTGGGAAAACGTGATACCTGCGTCCCGTAGAGGAAGGAAATCCAAAGGATAAAGAGGAAGATTGCGTCGATTTTATTATCGCGCGTTTCCGCGTCCTGTCTACATGCGAGCCATGAACACTAAACTCTATAGAAGGAGCTCTAACGCTTCAAATGCAATTTGAGGGAGATAGCGATATCTGCTATCATTCTGGGTATCTTTTTTTTGTCCAACACGAGAAAAAAAGTTCATCGTACGTACATACTTACATACTTTAAAGATGCGCTTACTTATAACACTCGCTGAATTTTTGACAAGACTTATATAAATGCGTAGAGATACAAGGATGTTCGCTTTCTCTCTCGGCTGCTGTATCTTGTATACGAGACAATGACAGATTATCATAAAATAAAGCGAAGTCTCAAGAGACGAATAAATATCTCTAAGAAATTTTTTTTTTTAAATTCTAGTAGATTTATAAATGTTCCAGTTTAAGGATCTCGATAATTCTTAATAAATTATATAATAATAATTATAAATAAATATCTAAATCATCTTTCTTCGCAAACTAATTTTCTTTTTTAAAAAAATTCTCCAATAACTTTATCAATTATAGAGATATGTCAGATATATCGATTATATAAAGATAAATTTTTAAATAATGTAAAGCGCGACATATAAATATATATATATATATAAACATGCAAATAAACATGCAAATTTATCGCATACGCGTACATACTATTAATATCAACTTTTGAAAATATATAATTAAATAAAACAATATACGAGGCGCTATTGATGTATAGTACAAACAGGAGAAAATTTATTTGTATTTACGTGACAACACAGTACGCTTTGCACGTTATTTCGGATGCTTCTCTGAGTTACCTCTCTTTTTTTTTTTGTTTTCATTTATCCGTTATTACACTGACTTATAATTTCATGCTTACACTTTTTCATTTCACTTCATATTTATATCCGAAGCTTCTATTGATATGCAATTCGCCATATACACGGTGCAGTATAAATCGTTGAAGATCAATCACTATTATTATTCTTCAAATAGACCAGTATAATACGTGTTATTAAATTTAACAGAAGGTATCGCGTACTTCATACGTGCACACACATACACACATTTCCGCCAGCTGTTATATATATATGTATATATATATACATATATATATACATATACACAGGAACTTATACATTTTACACAATATACTTTTTACACAGTTTATAACATTTTAACGCAGTCATTTCTCTTCGTCTCTAAATATTCATCTGCACACAAGTACATCGCGGAATAACAACTCGACGAATATTAACAACTTCATCTAGCGGAGTTTCTCCTTTTTTGTTATCACTGCATATCGCTTTTGACTATTGTATAAAAAAGTTATACTCCCCATAGAGAAAACACGTTTATATTCAAATCCATTGACGAAGAAATTCTCCTAAATTGGGAAATAAACATCAAGCGCGTGAAAAAGCGCATTGATGTATTAGAAATTAATTCGCGTATTAGTTTCTATGTATCGTACACGAGAACAAAGGATTAAAGACAATTCTAAATTTGTTATTGTTACACACGTACATACAGCTAAAGCGTCGTACTTTTCACAGAGAACTCTCACATCGACAAAGCGCACGAGTAAATAAAGTTGATGAATCTACCACACTAAGAGAATCTAGTAATTAAATATAATATAAGCTATCCCATTCTCGACCAAGTGAACTTATCTAAATATTTTCGGCCAGATGGTAAGAAATTCACGCGCAAATAATGATCAACCAATAATAAAAGATTTTGATTATCATATAGCAGATACATGTATTTGAATTCTTTGAATTCTACGCGCGAGATTGCGAAACTTTCCATTCAAAAAAAAAAAATGTAATGAAATTTGTTGTCTCTTGTGACTCGATTTTAACTATTTGAATCTAATATGACGAGTATATCTTGAACTGATTAATTATTAGAGCTTGACAAAGAAGAAGGCTCCGTCCTCTTTCGAAGTTTTTCGCTTACTAAGGATCGCAAAGTCACATTCTGGCATGTGTAATTTGAACGTAAAATATGTGAATAATATCCAATACATAAACATAAGATAATTGATTTTTACAGTGCTTTTAATCTGTTGTAAAACGTGCATGTATAGTACATGTTAGTGTATGTGTATAAGGATATTCTCTAGATTACTTCATGGGTCATTTTTATATGAGATTCAAATTTATGTCCCGTGTAATTCTTGTCTAACTTGTATCTAACTCAACTATCGCGTTTATGGTAAAACTAGAGAAACTAAAGCTAGAGAACAATACATGTGCTTACTTTAATTTGAAGTTCTCAACTTAACACCGGTAATATATTCGTGCTCGATTTGAAACACACAGCTCCCAATAATAATTGTAATAATTTATTTCGCGACTTAAAAATTAGTCATCAAAAATCAATATACATGTATAGGTCACTTTTATTTTCTAGGGTCTATCCTTTTTAAACTTTTAAAAAATGGTCTCTACAGCCATGTGATAAAAAAAAAATAATAATAAATATTTGAATGTCACAGATGTAATGCTCTTCGTTGATCCATAGTAAGCCAGCGACAAGGAAACAAATCATTACTTTATCTGTGTGTGTGTGTGTGTTGTGTGGCCTTGATAATTAATTATAAGATGGAAAATACAAATTCGTAACTTCTAGACGAAGTTTACTTAAAAAATAGACGAAGCATACACATATTTATAATCGACAATACTGATATTTTTTTTATACATTTCACGACGGAAATTTGATATTTAAGAATCATGGTGAAAATTTGTAACATTTATACCATGGGCAGAGATACATATGACCCTGCCAAAATAAATCGATATTATAACAAGTTCCAATTTCTTATTATCAAACATTCATTAACGGAATTCCTACATTATTTTTGCATCCAAAGTTAATTGTATAAAAAGTCTAAAGCAATTTCAGATGCATGTATAAAGCAACGTATATAAAAAAAAATGAATAACAATATATCTAGTAATATTCAGAACGGTTAGACTTAAGATCGCGTATACGATTCCATATTTCCGTATACGACACCATGGATCTTACGGGTTAACGTGAATAACTCGAAAACTTGAATCCTGATATAGATATCATTTTTACTTGTTTAATTAAATTTCGATAATCATTATCAATTCTATGTGTCTCATATACATCACATTTTTTTATTACATCTCAGATATGGACGGCATAAGTAAAAACAATTATATTTAGTTACAAGAGTTCCAAATGCGTATTCATGCGTGAAATCTTAAAATATAATATAAGTGCAATACTGTTTTTTACATTACAGTCGATGTTCTCTTTTCTAGCGTTCCTCTATTCCAAATTTTTCGATTCAGCTGTTTTTGTAAAATAGAATTTTTCTTTTGATCTCCCATTTACTCCATATGTAATAAAATCAGAAACTATGAAAGATAGAGTGATATTTTTATTCTGTGTATTAAAAAAACTGAGAGAATAGTGAGAAAGAGAATAAAGGAAACGTTCCCGATAACTTTAAAAAATAAACAAAATCGACTGTATTGTTGAAAAAGAAATATTCTTTTATATATATATACATATATATATATAATAATTAATTTCTTAAATAATTTACATGTCGGAGAGATCAACAATATTTCGATACTCTTTTAACTATCGATATATTTTAACGCAACTTTTTTTAAATATAAGTAATAATTGGATATCAATATCAGAGAAAAAAGGATTCACTTCACAATTGAGAAATGCATTCGCTTTAAAAAGAGGGAAATGCATTTTGTATCCGTCACATTTATTATTATTATTCTCACTAAATTTACTTAACGACAAATATATAGTAAGGAAACAAATTCTCTTGTAGATAAATTATTTTACCTAATATCAATCGTACGACCGATCGTTCGCAATTGCAATATATTTCTTTTTAAATTTAGAATGTAGTCTGTGACAATGTAATATATTAAATTAAAAAAGAGCCTTGCCCAAAAAAATAAATATGCTAAAAATGACAAAAACCTAGAATTATACAAATTTCTTTGTCGCTAAGAATGCCAGATATGAACGTAGATGGACATATTCACCAATCACGGACAATTTTATTGAGGATGATTCGCATTAAATTTCCTATAATTCGGAGAAAAGAAGAGCTCGTGCGACTCTTTGTCTCTCTTTCTCGGCTCGCAAGTCGGGTCAAATTAAAGGACATTATTGACATTTACCTAGTGAATCCACTAAGTGAATTACTTTCTTTATGTTATGTCCCTTAAGTACAAAAATTATATTCGATTAAATCGGCGAGGATTGATTTGAATGTTAGAACGTTACATGGTGATCAGTCACATCAGTGGGGTTCATACTGGCGTAGGAAGTGGTCGCGCATTGATGGTTGTCGTTTTGGAGTAGAGGAGAGTCTGGTTGGTCACATTGGTGACATCTAACTTCACTTTCGCTCGTGAAGTCGCGATTTTTTCTACGCCCCCGGCGCGACATCACGCCTAAAAAAAAAACATACACAAACAAAAAAACATATAAATTAAGCATTCTAAATTCTTTTATCACACTGCATAACAAACTATTCCTTGCATACATTTAATTTTTCTTGTCTGTGTAGCAGTTGTTTCTATACATGGAAAGCAATTTATGAGCCAACTTAAATATAATTTTCATGCAACGCCAAGTATTCCATCATCGTAAAAAAAAAAAAATACATTTTCAAAATTTTCTTTAAGCACTAAAAGCGATGATGCAATGTGATAATGCGATAATGTACATGGCCCCATTTTGATTTACAATTAAGATTTTATTTGCCAATATACAATAATATATCTGCCACAAGAATTCTTTTAAGAACTTAGTTATAAAAAAAGTTTTCCACATATCATCCATTATAACATCCGTATATAAAAAAAGCTAGGCTAATTTAATTTTAGGCTGTAAAAAGAATAAAACAATTATATTAAATATTACATAAATTGATGTGATTATTTGTTTAATTTATTTATATTGCAAACTTTGTTGGAAATCTAAGGAAAAATTTATTATTTATATCATATTACTCTAATTTCTTATTTTTTAAATATTATGATAGATGCATATATTAGCAAATACTATACACTCAAATTAAACAACTGATATCTTGATAACAAAGTATGAAAAAAATTATATCATAATTAGCTTAAAATTCTAAAGAAAGATATATTGAAAAGTTCAGTGTAAATTTTAAAAACATCTTGCATGTAATATTATAAGGAAATACAAAAGACGAATGCAAAGTGAGCACCATACGAAATGATCTATATGTTTCTCTTCACCAGTAATAACTTCTATACATTTCCATATCCCTGTTACAATAAACGATTTTATAGCAGCATACAATCAATCTAGGAATTTAATCATAGGATTCGACAAAGAACTGTTTGATAATCAAACGATACATGATCTGGGAAATATTTTATATCTTGCAATATGCAAAATATATGTATATTACATGCTATAGAACACGTGTTAGATATAGTGCAACATATCTATCAATTAGTGACAGGAATGCATACAAAAATGCGATTTACAAAAGCATAAACAAATAGAAATAATATATAAATAACATAAAAGAAAATAAAAGAAATAACATACACCACACCATAAAATAGAAAATTAGAAAAGCACATTTCTAAAAGCTTTTCTCCATTCTAATAACTCATCAAAATAATCAAAAAGATATCAAATATAAATTTTAAATGCAATTAGTAAAGAATTTATATATATATATATATATATATATGTATACATATATGTGTAATATATATATATGATATATTATAAAAGATACTCACTTCATCACTGGCTAAAGCAGCCGCAAAATTATCACAGTCAAGATGTAAATATATATCAATCAATTGACTGAATAACTTCTCCGGTTGCCATCCGTATTTTTCCAGTTTTCTCAAATTTTTATACTTAGGTCCGCACAACTGTTGCAAATTGAAATTCAGCATGGCACACAATTGTCCGACTAATTCCGGTCGTAGAAACGGTTCCTTAATGTCGACCGTTAAATAATGAAACATAGCAACTATTTCCTTGTACGATTGAGCTGTCACGTGCATTGCATTGAAAATTTTCTAAATCAAAATTATTTAGAAATATGGTTAGTTATACATCAGAATAAACATATATATATATATATATATATTATATACAAGTAGTGTTGTGCATTGTTAAATGTGTATCATAAAGATCAATTACCATTTTTTATAATTTTTTATAATTATTAATTGAAATTTAAAACAACATATCTTGTATAATTGTGCAGATTGTGTATTAGCTTCCATAACGATTTACATAAAAGATATTACATATAATTTTCTATCATAAAAGATATTATCCATATTATTTTGTCCACATATGCACCAATGCAAATCTTCCCTAATCAATTTTATATATTACGATTCTAAACTTTAAATTTTAATTTGTTAAATTAAAAAATTATATTATTATCTTTTTTATATAGAAGTAGAAGAGCGTAAGTCAAAGAAGGAGAAAGAAGAATGTGTTAAATAATATCTAGAACTTTAGCATGTATCATTTGATAACTGTAGAAAAATAACAAGTAATGTGCCTGCGAGTTTCTTGCTATTTGGAAATAAATAATATTGTATGGTAAACATATTAAGAAGAATATATACAGTTATGTAAACTTATATAAAATATAAGCTAAAAAGAGATTACCAGTTTACTCTCTCTATTTCAATCTATATCAAATTTAAACAAAAAATAAAAGATAAAGAATATGAAAGATCTGCTATTATATAGAAAATTGCATCTCTTGGATATCTCTTAGACATTTAATTAAAAATATAATAAAGTGAATTGACAATATTGAATAATATCTCAAAAATAATTTTTTCTGCATTGTGTGGAATAAACAATATATGGGAAACACATGTGCGACACATTTTGGAAACAGGATAGAATTGCCAGTACTGTGATCTGTAATTTTTAACGACGATGCCACTACCGTTATGTATCGTTGCGCACGTATTTCAACATATCAAAATACATGCGCAATGATAGCGACATCGTCGTTAAAAGTTACAGAATCGCCGTACAGGAGACTTTATCACAGTGCAGATGTTCTGTTCTTTTATTTTTTTAACTCAGATACCCAATTCTGCATACCTATCTCTCGCATTCGAGCACTTTGAACGTAGGTGTGATTGTAGTGGGTGTAGGAGGAGAATTGTGTTTGCTTACACGATGATTCAGGGATGTCTCTTGCACGTTGTCCAGGTTCCCATGCATCGCTCTTTTGTGATTGGCCAACTTCTCCCTATTCATGGGTGAGCCTAGAACCACCAGGAGCCATGACACCAGTCGATATTACTCAGAATTATATCATATTACTCAGAATTAAAGAACTGATTCTTCTCAGTAAAGGAGATTAAGCACAGGCACCATCAATGCAAAAACATTTGGCGTAAAAATATCTCGGTGTAATTTCCTACTGGCTGTACAATCTCTGTCGAATTCGCAAAGCTGCTCGTATCGAACGTAAGAAAGAGATCTTTCTACACATTCATGTTATGCAAATAGGGATATGAAAATAGGATTTTAATGTAACACTGGTGTGCCCATAAACAAAAACAAAGATTATTTGTTATCTTTCCCCCAAGCATTGACATGCTTATGACAAATCTGAAAGAGTACAGTCATTCTGCTATCAAGTGTGTGTGTCACTATTCAGCGGTAAACAAATTTGCATAAGATATGTTTCATACCATGTGTAAGCAATGATAGAACTTTTGTGTATAAACAACATAAATTTCAATATAAAATAATTTAAAATGTGTAAGTCAGAGAGCTGAGATAATGTTTCATGTAGCTTTTCTGCATTGTGATCTTTCCTTATCATCACATATAGAAAGCTACAAGTTTGAGATAAGATAAAAGCGAAGATGATAAATTCAAAATCAGAAAAGACTTGAATTACTGGAAACCCCAAGATCTTTTCTGCATATATATATAATTATATATAAAACGGCTGTCATAATTATATATATGACAGTGTTTCCTCACCTATATAACTAAGTAATACTGGCAAAAAGATGAGACCATGCGCTGCTCCAAATAGTACAATACCCAGATACATTCTGAAGTAAAAGACCTGCAAATATTTCTTAGTTGAGTAACGCTATAATTTTATGCAATTAAAATAACACAACGCGCTCATCAATTATCTAATTTATGATTAATTTGCAATTGATAATAAGCGAAAACTGAAGAAATTATTCTAAATAAATTGAGAGTGAATATGAAAAATAAACAAATTACAACTTAATCGCTCATACCAAGTGCATATTTTTTGATAATAAATTTGGCACAATTTCAATAAGCCAATTAACGTCCTACTTATGATGAAACAAAAAACAAACCTGGAAAATTTGACTCTTTGCAAAGCCCAGGACTATAATACCACCAAACTTCGTCAATGTGATACCGCTAAATACCGAGCTTCCCATATTCGTCAATGCATCTGCGACTCTGTCCACTCTAGTTGCTTGGACCGACACCGAGAAGGAATGCACTAGATGACTGCAAAACTCAACAGCTATACCAACTGCCTGCAACAATAAACATCAATTCAACTTTCATTAACTTTCCTTATCAATTCTCAATAAATGACAAAAAGGAGAAAAATTCATGATAGATAATTTATATTCATATTTTTCGTTATCCGCAATACTAATAAAAGCAAAATATTTATTATAGAAATGTAACAATAATAAATAATTAAAAATAAAAGGCGGAAAAATTATTAACTAATTTATAATAAATACACTATTTCATTGTTTTGTTTATAAATTACTCCGAAACTCTCATTGTAAAGTGCAAAACTGTGAGAAATGTTCAGATACTAATGAATTCATACAGTAATACTACAAATAGATATCTGTTGTTCTCATAATAATTAACTTACCATGACAAGATTCACCAGAGACACTGCGTTCAAAGTTATATGCCACCAATACATTAAGCCACCAATATTGACGACGATCATTGTGATCGTAATTAGAACAACTAGTGATGAGAAAATGTCCAAACCCATCAGCAAGAAAGTAACCACAAATATAGCAAGCAATGAGATTCCTATACTTTGCAATGTGTCAGGCCACATGGTCAGGTACTGCTCGTAAAATACGTAGAAAACACTATACGGAAAAACTTCCACAGTGATGTTTTCACTGAAACGTTTCATGTTACAGTTGAGCATATCGGTAATGTTAGCTGCTACGACTCTGGCTGCTCTCATCGATTCATAATAATCAGCTGAAGTCTTGAGGATGCTGTGATAAGCCATGAAATACGAAGCGCCAACGGTCGACATTCCTGTGTTAGGATCGGTCATGTAATTTACACCGTGCCCGTAAGCTGCATGACCTCCTTTAGCGCAAGTTTCGTCAGGATTATCTTGCAGGAAGAACGATACGTATTTGTCGAAATCCATAGGCACTGGCCTGTTGTATTTGTTCAAAGTGATGTTGCAACTAGGACAATTTCCACGACCTGCGATTCAAGAATATATAAAATAGTAAAGTATATACGCGATTACAAAACATTTTTATACAAAAAATATGTACCATTATGTGGACAGAATGAATCATTCGCAGGAAAATATTTGCAACAACCGGGTAATCCAGACCAATCGATATAATCGTCCATCCAAGACGAAGCAGGTTTAGCTATATAAGTTCTAGAAAAAAGGAAAGCATTTTGATATAAAATCCACAAAAGAAAACAAAAAAGGCATAATAAATCATTCATTCGTGAAACTTTTGCAAACGTTGCATTCTACCTATTCGGTTGTTTGGACGCTGTAAATATTTGAGTTGACACTGAATCGCTGTTACAATATTGCCCACCGCAAACTAGATTTTGCACTTTAGTATCCGAATAATTTAGGCCATCTTTAACAACGAAATACATTGGTGGTCCAATGGATAAGTAATTATTCAAGAACTGCAAAAAAAGTGTAAAGTTTAGTATTTTTGACGATTCATATTTAACGCGAATATTGATGCTCTAAATCGGTCACTGGACATACTTTGAAATATTTGAGCACAAAACTGTCTTCGGGCATAGAGAGCTCTTGATCTAGGCCAATTTCGATGTGTGGTATTACAGCGATACTGCTGCAGAGCCAACCGAAAAACACAATCATCACGGCCGCACGAACCCATTTTTGCAATAATAACGGGACGTATGCAACTTTGAAAATTTTATATAATATTCCATCTACCACTTCTTCTCCATCATCACGCTTGGAGCGAATAAAGCAACATACATCCAGTCTGTTGTTCTAAAATTATGAAAATGACCTTTATGCATTAAACGTAATGATTGAATAGAATATATAATGAACAAGAACGCGTGATAATAAAAATAAAGTTTTTACGAACTTCTATTAAATATACAAAATATTCTATTAAATTCCATTCTATTATTCTATAAAATATATACAAAAGATATTAATTATATAACTATATAAAAATTTCTAAGTTTAAAATAAATTCAATTTTTAAAATAAATTTCTTCCATTTTATTAATTACATACCGCATGCCGAATTGTGTCAAGCGCTAAGAGACTGACGAAACATGTAATTTGCAATATAAAGTCCACCAATAAAGCCATTCCAGCGTAAAGAGCAAACGCCTTTACAGCAGGCATATCAGAGAGGCCGCCTATGTCAATAGAAAACGAAAACGAATTATAACAAACCTTTTTCGCATATACGAAAACAATCTTATTCTCTCATTTTTTAATTTATATATAAGGCTCACTATGCACCAACACGTACCTAGGAAGAAGCAACAGCTTTCTGATACACTAGTGAGTAACATACTAGGGCCGACTTGACCCAGTGTACGTCCAATATGTTCCGGAATTGATTCGTTCGGGCGTCTGCCCTCTCTCTGATGAGTTTGAACAAGAATAAAAATATTGTCTACCCCGACCGCCAGTACCAAGAACGGAATGACTTCAATGATAATCAGCGTAGCTGGTATACCAATAAAGCCGAACAGTCCGACCGAGCAAATCACGGATGCCAGCACTATAAGCACGCCTCCAAGTCCAAGAGTAATTTTGGAATCGTGCTGAATACAAATATCGATTATATATAAAAGTGTGATTGTATATAAATGTTTGTTTTTCGTGCGAGACGAAAAACAAAAATGATGTAGCAATCACGTGATGTAGATCCTCACCAAGAGACGAGTGCATGATCTAATTTGGCCGAGTGATACCGCGATATATCCAAACATGATGACATATGATATCAGAATTGTTACAATGTCTGATTGTGATTCACGATTCAGTTCATCCTCGATAGATCGCTCGGACGTGTACGCAATGTCCATAAATGCCGGCTTTCTCGTTGCAGTCCAATTTTTCATAAAGTTAATAAAACTAAAATTGAAAGAACGGTATATATATATATGACAATCTTACTCAGTCGAATTTAGCGATTGAGCAAATGCACATTTACCTTTCTTCCCATTCCATAGCAGGAACCAATTTTGCTTTATTGTGATAATTGTTTACAAGAATAGTAAGGATTATAGCAGTTGCCTTTTCATATGGTGGATTATGAAGATCATGTCCTGGAGGCAAAAATCCACCTACTGCGATTGCCGGATCTACAGGACCACCGTAAAGCGCAAGACATTCAGGATTATATGAATTCCTAAAAGAAAGATATACAAAAATAATATCATAAAACAATATTGTTATATGTATAAAATGTCCAAAAAACATTACACTTGTTTTTTAAGCACACTTCTTCATTAATGATTACATAAATTGTTTTATCTTATATCTTTAAATTATCACGATTCTAATCTAAACTTTTTTATAATACTCTGTTTTTTTTTTTATTATTATTATGACAAATTTATCTCGTGAACTAAGTAATATAGTTTGTTTTTCGAAATAATGATACTAATTTTTTCTTTATGTAAATATTTAAACATTTTCTAAAATCCAGTTTCTTCATCTTTATCTCGTAATAATTACGGTCTATACATATATACTTCTTGCAACAATTTACGATGTTCACTGTTAATGCTATTGCTACTAATATTTTACTTCAGTATTTTTGTTATTTTACTCGTGTTATCACAAAAGGATTATTCACATATTGTTCGATATAAATGAATAAATAAATAAATATTATTAGCCTTCGCTTTTATCACTCATTACTTACTGAGAACAAACTCTGAAATGGTCCAAATAGTTGACTGTATAATTGCCTTCGTCTTCTGAACTCCCAAATTTTTCTAAACTGTCTTGCCAATAACCCCAAATACTTTGAATAGCACATTGCGATACCGTCGTCGGCCCGGTAAATGGTCCAGTTAAAGGAGCAAAACATATATCCGCTAATGTGTAATTGTTAGAAGTAATTATACGCTTGATTTCTTCTTGCAATTCAAAGACTGTTTTTAAGAAAGTATCGTTAAACACAGGTCCGAATACGATTGGTCCATTAGACGTGTTGTGCACAATCTGTAATTAACATCAATAATTATACATAACACATCAAATCAAAGCCAACATATAATTCATTTCTATGTTTTATGATAAGCAATAATTACATAGTAGTTTTTCTTTACTTGAAAAATACATATGATAGTATAAATCAATATAAATTGTTTTGCAAAAATATAACAATCTAATATATTTTAATAGTACATACATTCGGTAAACCGACGGAAGTGATAATAATCTGTTCGTTTCGATAAAATGGCTCAAAGTGTTTATCGAAATATTCCCTTTCGATACGTGATCGGGAATGCGGAGATGCCCACAGTTCCACAGGATCTGTAGTAACTTGCATATATTTTATGCCATGTCCTAAAGCAACGATCAATAGAAATCCAAGGAAAAGTATTAGCCAAGGCCGAGAGGCGCAAACTGCAACAGAATCATTAATCATTGTAATGCAATATCATGATATAAAGAAAGTTTTGCTCATATAAAATGTAGAATGTAAAAACAGTCTTTTGCTTACACGTTCCCCATTTGCAGAAGAATTCTTGCAGAAATTTGTCTGTTCCAGCTCCAAGCTTCTCAATGAAAGTAGATTGTTCCTGGTCAAATCCGCTTGGTATCTCATCAGTTGATATGACACCTAAAAACATTTATATCAAGTATAACAAATTCCAATTTATAAATAAACATTCGATTAAGCACCATTATATAGTTTCAACATCTTTGAATAAGCGTGTTCTGCAGATAACTAGTATTCGGTAACCTATAACTAATACAATAATGTCGCAAATAATCAGCTTCGTAAAATAGCAAAGACTATAGAGAAAAATATGAATTCCTAAAATAAATAATATATACGAGGTTGACAATAAAATAAGAAGTAAAATGTCTTAAATATAATTATAATAAACAGCACTGTAACAATATTTTATTATATTACACATGTTAAAAAAAAATAAAATTATTTAGAATAAATACACTTCTTCAATTCAAATTAACTTAAAAATGTAAGAAATTAATATTTTTTAATTATTAGAACTAGTATCTTGTTAAATTACGATATAAAATAGCTGTTATCAAAAAAATAATATAAGATAATATAACTTGTATAGAATTTTTGTTACAATTAAATATTAAAGTTTAAGGAAGTCTCCTTAACAACATTAGATATGAAATGCATTTTATTATAATTATGCAAAAAATACAGAATGAATGAAACAATTCTGTGCAACGTGCTTAAGTTTTAATTATTTTAGAGATAGTATCTTTTATTTAAATGTCGCATATTGGACACCAAAAAATTCCTATTTATTTCGCTTATAATTCATTTTTTTTTAAATCATTTTCCAATGCTGTTGTGGAGGTTGTCTATATTAAGCTCATCTAGTTAAACAGCACATCTTACTTATCTTCTAATTCATTATTTAAAGCAGCATCTATCACTACTATACTAAACATGCAAAATACTAAGTTTTGTAGACCATTCTTAATATAAAAGAAATACAAAATACACTTGTACAACACAATTTTTGTGAGCAAGAAATCTTTATATAAATATTCTAGTTGTGTTTAAAAAATTGTATATACATCCTTTCTCTCTCTTTCTTTCTTTCTCTCTCTCTCTCTCTCTCTCGTTTTTCAAGTTTAAAAATATTCTCAATAAAAATTATTCTCATGAAAACAAGCATCAATTTTATATTTTAAACTTTAATAAAATATTATGTAATGTAATGCAGCATCATTAGAATATGATTTCATCGCATGCTTTTTATAAACTTCTTGCCAACCAAGCTTCAAATACTTCAAGTATTTATCTTACTTTTAAGCATTTGAATCTTTATTGCAATCGTGCAGTTAATTAGTAAAAATTCACTATAACGTGTGCATGTGGATATGCAATATTGCATATTGTGACATGGAAAGAGATACGCGGGTTAAAGAGCTTAATGCTATAGCTAAAACTAAGTTTGATAAATCTAAATGGGAATGTACTTGAAAGAAAATTATCTAATACATAATTGACATCCATCGGCAGGAATAATCTGCAGGGCTAAAAATAAAGAAAGCGAAAGAAACAAAGAAATAAACAAAGCGATAAAAGCAACAAAAGACAAAAAGAGAAATATAAAACAAGAACGCAATAACGATTACAATTGCGAACATCGAAGATATTTTTAGAATCGAAAAAACCTACTAGAACGCTTAGACTGAAGTGGGCTGTCTTCTTGGTCAGCGGCAAGGGCAATACGAGCACCATCTCCTGGGTGGTGTAATCCGGCAGCTAGCCGTCTACCCACCTGTCTTCCTACCTCCTCCCCTCGTGCAACTATACATACGCGCACACCATACATACACAACTTGTATAGTTTGTATAGTCTGTATTTTTCTCATATACATAAGTATCATTTATGCGTATTAATTAGTTAATATAAAAAAAATATTCCATTCGCACAAAAAATTATTTGATAAAAGTCTCACTTATTAGAATCTAAACACGATAGAATTATTAAATATGTATTAGTTGAGAGAATAATAAATTAATTAGAGTTAGTGTGCAAATGTAACATTATCATTTCTAGAAAAAATTCTCATGTGTCATGATTTACAAATTACAAACATATCAAATGTTGAATGAGTTAAAGTTGATAATAATTTGCTAATAAGAATGTAAAAAAAATTAATTTTTTAAAATCAAGTTTCAAATAATTGATATGTAATATCTCTTCTGCGAAAATTTTATATAGCATTAAATAGTTATTATCATTATAATAACTCATAAATGCGCTTGAATAATTACAAACGTATAAATCATAACGATTCTGAATTTTTTTAATGCTTCTCACAAAAATAATGTTTGTTCTTTTAATGTTCGCAAAAAAAAAGAAAAGAAAAGAAAAACGAGAATTTCATGAGATATTATACATGCTTTTTCTTGAGATTTAAATAAAATAAAAGAAGTGCAGAGGAAAGACCCACAAATTAAGATAAATAGCAACAATAGAATATATCTAAATATAACCATTACAAAAAAATTAATCATACGATGAACTCATTAATTTCACACGTGTCTCTCTTATTATCTCCTCATTTATTTTACATATTTAATTAGAGATGTGATTAATAACCAAAAATAATATAAGTTAACTACAATTAGTCATTAGAATACTCAATAAATTATCAAAGATAAATTATATGCAAAATATAGTTAAAAAAAAAGATAGCTTCAAAGTTGAAAAAAGCACACTCTATTTTTCATTTACATAATTTGTGCTACAATAAAATTCGGCAAAAATTTTTCTTTATATATATATATATATATACCTTTTCAATATGCACAAAACAAGGTTGAGTTTCTTACCTATACGCTTCCTATGGCTGAAACACATCATTAACAGAAGGAAAAGGCAGGTGCCGCATACAAAAATAATTGTCATTATAACTTCATAACCATCGTAACCAAATATTGAAAACAGTTTTGGAAGTGGAGGCACCGGTGGTGGTATTGGACAACTTTGTTCACAATCAACACAACTGCAAGCTGGAGTGTTTTTCTACAAAAGAAGAAATTAGATGCAGATTTTTCATTGTGCTATTTTTTGTGCATTTTATTCATCTTATAAAACGTGATTTAGCTAGACATAAGTGTCTTTATACGTTTTATTTATACAAATAATATATGTCTCTCTCTCTCTCTCTCAATCATGATAACAAAATAACGAAATAACTCACCAGAAAAAAAATATAAAAAAAAAAGTACAACTTTTATAGATTTCTACTCTCTCTCTCTCTCTATTAAAAATGTATAGAAATTCAAATAATTTGAATATTTCTAGTGTTCTCATACATATTTATATAAATAGAATAAAGATAACTTCACATCTTAAATATGTCGGTTATCAAATATAGAAAATATTTTTCTGTTAGAAAATTACATATTGTAAAATTTCAAAATAATAATCTTGAGAAAATATTCTTTTTGTAATATTTAACTCCCTTAAACTTGTACAGATTGTTTGTAAGATTTTTATATATTATCTATCAAATATAGAAGAATTATTCAAATATTCCTATTTTTGAATTATGAAAGATGCAGTATTTAATTTTCACGCGCATATACCTCAATAAAAAGTATACATTAAAAGTGTATGTCATGAAATTAATAACTAGATCAGCTTGTTTTCTTCTTACTTACTATAATATATGCAATAATTGTACTATGTGCATAATCGTAATATGTGCAATTAAAAACTTGTTATGCTAATGTCGAATAACGAAATAAAAAAAGTACATCTGTAATGCTATTCAGCCACAAAAGTTCAACCAAATCATTCCTGTCCTTTTTTTTAGTGTATTATGTATATTTCAATAATTGCTGCTTATTGTCTTACTTGCATTTATACAATATAAAATATAATAATTATTTATAAAACTCGTGTATTAACAAGAAAGTGTAACTAGCTACTGTATTTAAAAAAATCTTTACAAAAGGAAAGTATGTAGTAAGTGGATTAGCATCCACTGGACGGCATATCTTGCTTATTAGTATGTTTAAACCTTTACAGTGTTAATAAATCTAACAAGCTCAAAAAAACTATATATGTATGTGTATGTGTATTCCATAACTGTTAAATATATTGTATATCTTTCTGAAAATAATACTAACGTTCAGCGCCTTACTGCATGGCGTTATTACAGGATCTACTGGTGTAAACAAATCAATAGGTCCATCAGTATTTTTATATGTGATTTGGAAAGGTACATAGATGTTATTCTCCGCATCACCCATAAAGTGGAACCATTTTAAAGCAGTGCATCTACTTGCACCCCATTCTCCGCACATTATATCCAGCGCTAACTGGCCTGTGCTCGGCACTGATACCTTATTGCACGAGTTAAACGTTCCTTCAAGATACTTATTCGTTATGTATAAATCTATTCCATCAACGTATTGTACACCTGAAAAAAGAAATCCAAAATCATAAAATTGCATATCGAGAAATATTGAGAGAAAACATTAAATTTCAAATGTCAAATTGATGAAACGAAATATCAATGTATGTATTATATAATTACCATTCGCCTCGCCTGTCTTCGTAACATTGATAAATTTGTTTTGGTTAGCGGCGCATGTATAATCGCAAAAGTGCTTTGCTAAATTATTTAAGCAACTAGGACATCTTTTTAAAAAATTGGATGCAAGCTTGAGATTTGCATCCATCGTAATAAGTTGGTTCATGTCGCAGCAGGTATTAATTCCTTTGCCATTATCCACCAACAAATGTGGACAATTTTTAGCCAATAATTCCTGTCCCTTGGAACTCAATGGTTTCGCTGGCCCATCATAAACACAATATTTTTTGTGCATAGCTGCATCCATATAACATTCTCCATACCATATACAATGACTATTTTCATCACTGGCGACCTGTTCAGAAATAATAAAAAATATCTTTAAACTTTCATTTGATGTAATTCACTTTTTCGCATATATTAAAAAAACAATGCTCTAAAATTAACTTTACAAAAAAACATTTTTTCCAGTTATATACATAAATATAAAATGTTTGTTACTAAATATTAATATTATATGTCACTTAATGTGCGATAAGGTTTACTGGCCGCGCTCACGCAAGATACATATAAAGATATAGAATATTGCATGAAACATCTTCTAATTGAGTTCTTCATGACCTATGTATTAAAGCTTGATATGGGATTTATTTGAGGCAATGAGCTGAATTAATGATTTAATTCACTTAATTTAAAGCAGAGCATTGCATGAAGAACTCTATAAAGAGGAATAACATTTGCTTTTTACAAGATATAAATAGTGATGATTATATAACATTAATGTAAAATATTGCTTTATCTTCTAAAATTTTAAATTATATAATCTAGTAATTTAATCAACTTCTTAATAATTGA